CCTGACCCCTGAACACTGATCCACAACAAAGTACACCAATACACTGCCTATGCAGCCAGCTGATGAAAAAGTCCTTCAGGGATTAAAAGTTCATATTTCTATAATATTTTAAGATTCTATTAAAAGTATTAAAATAATAGTCATGTGCCATAAAGTCAATTCTGACTTATGGTGTCCCTTTTCCGTGTTTTACAGGTAAATAATACACAAAACTGGTTTACCGTTCCCTTCTTTTGGGGGCATCCTGGGATTGTGCAGTTTGCCCAAGGCCACATAGGCTGACTCATCTCCCTCGAGGCAGTGTGGGGAATCAAACTCCCAACCACTGACTCCACAGCTAGATACCTAAACCACTGAGTTATCCCCCCCCCCTGCTAGTTATAGGTATTACTCATAATTTTGGATTTGCAGATCAGATGCTTCTTTTCTCTTTAAAATTTAACATAATACATCAGTATTTTCCAGCATCATGTGTAATGTATTGCAGTAGTGTGTTGGTACTTATAATAAATTTGAAAAAGAAGATTTTCACTCACTCTCTCAGCATTAAAAAAAAGCAAAAAACATAACATGTAAACAGATACACAAATATTTGACTGGTCAAATATATACACAGTGACTGAACTGTGCTACAGTATTTCTCTTCTAGGGTAGGAAGTTGTTGTTGTTGTTGATTAGTCATTTGTTTATTTATTTATTTATTTATACCCCGCCTATCTGGTCAATATGACCACTCTTTAGTCGTTTAGTCATGTCCAACTCTTCGTGACCCCATGGACAAGAGCACGCCAGGCCCTCCTGTCTTCCACTGCCTCCCGGAGGGTAGGAAGTAGGGGGTCATTAAAGTGCTTGGTTTTTAAAGTGCCCAGGACCTCCATAAACCCCACCCAACAGTCATAGATAATGGTGCATGTAATGAAGATTCAATATGGAATCCTGGCTTGAACATCTTTATAGCCTTCAATGAGTACAAATAACATCGTGACCTCCCCAAGGGTACAGTCCTAACTTACTAAGATAGCTGAGGACTTCCTGAGCTGCTAATAAGCTAATTGGTAAAGGTAAAGGTTCCACTTGACAATTTTTTGTCCAGTCGTGTTCGACTCTAGGGGCGGTGCTTATCCCTGTTTCCAAACCATAGAGCCAGCATTTTGTCCGAAGACAATCTTCCGTGGTCACATGGCCAGTGCGACTTAGACACGGAATGCCGTTCCCTTCCCATCGAGGTGGTCCCTATTTATCTACTTGCATTTGCATGCTTTCGAACTGCGAGGTTGGCGGGAGCTGGGACAAGCAACGGGCGCTCACTCCATCGCATGGATTCGATCTTACAACTGTTGGTCTTCTGACCCTGCAGCACAGGCTTCTGCGGTTTAGCCCGCAGCGCCACCATGTCCCTTGGGGACTAAGCTAATTGAGGCTGTGCTAAATCCGAACTCCTCCCTCTTTGGGAATGCTGGATATTTGGGGATGCTCTTCCCCTCTCCTCCCCAGCACCGCCTCTTTACCACTCTCTTTTTTTGACTCTTCTGCTGGCTGGTTCCAACTGGCAGTTGTGCTGGCAGCTCTGAGATCATCCAGCACAATGGGCCATGCTGACACAAGAGCAGTTGTATTGGGACAGCTATAGCTATGTTGGCACTAGAGGATTCTGCCCATTCCAAACCTACTGTGACTGGCAGTGTATCTTTGAGTTTGGATGCCACTGCCTGTTATTTTTGTGGGTTTGTTATGCCATATACTGTACTGTTTAAATGAAGAGGTTACTGTGACCATCTCTGGAGGGCCAAGGAAAAGGCCAGGTGTACCTTCTGTGTCCAAGGGTTACCATCTCTGGTGAAATAATTACCTGCTGTTTTGTCCTGAGCGCTATTCCTTGCTTCTTCGACCCTCTAAGTAATAAGATCTCTTGCTGGTTATATAGAAGTACCTCTCAAAAAAAAAAAAATCTGTGCCACACCTTGAAGAATAAGCATTTGAAGAATGTAGCTGTTTACCTCCTATATTCAGCATGAAAGATACAGTGAGTATGTGTTTTCATTTCTTCTCTTTTGTTAGTCTTATGTCAAGAGAAAAACTATGTTTTACACAAACCAGCCATTTAATGATAATTTTTAATTCACAAACCTCAAGTTGTCCAGGTCAACAGCTGTTTCTTTGGGGTGGGGGTGAAGGAAGATACCTCCACCATCACCCATTAACACATGTCACAGCATAGGAGGGGAAACATGGGCACAAACAGGGTTAGGCTTGTTTGCAAGCTGGGCAAAAGCCAAAGAAGATTCCAAGCAGACAAGAGCCATCTGCTTGAATACAGAAGAGCACAGATCAGGGCAGGCAGGAGCTTAAAAGATGAAATGAATAAGAAATGACCTCATGGATCATTTTACTAAGCACAGTGCCTATCAGTGGAGAGAGCTAAAATACTAAATATGTAGACATCCTTTCCTATTGTAGGGATATGCATCTAAAAGTACAACCCGATTTAAAATAAAATTTACAATAAATGTCAACTGACCAATAACATGTGTTTGGGACATATCGATAATCAATAAGTTCATCTGTGTGCATTATTTCTGAAACAGAAAAAAAAAAACCAAACCCTTACAGGTCCCCGCCCCCCTTGAGATTGGCTGATCTAGCCCAGTGGTTCTTAACCTTTGTTGCTCAGATGCTTTTGAACTGCAACTCCCAGAAACCCCAGTCAGCACAGTTGGTGGTGAAGGCTTCTGGGAGTTGCAGTCCAAAACTCTTGAGTAACCCAAGGTTAAGAACCAGTGATCTAGCCAAACTCTTGGTTTATTTTATAAAATGGTGAAAGGACACAGTATGCATCGCTTAAGCAAAAGACTAAAGTGATCAAGGGATGAAGGATGCAGAAACAGTTCACACATATACCTAAAATAAGTTCATGACTTTTTGCAGCCATGCTGTTTGAGAAATCTTAACAATCTTAGCAAGAAACGTTTCTTAACTATTACAACAGGCAAGGGCAACAAAACTATTACAAGTAAATTTCATAGCAAGTGTTCAAACTCTGTTGTATATCCATTGCACACCCAAGTGTAACCTAGTTAAAAGATAATACAACATACACATTTTAACATGCATCAAGCAACAATATATTCTAGGTTACAATATACTTTTGTCACTTTGTTTCAGTGTTACTTTTTGTATCTGATGTGCCCATTTCTGTTTAACATTTTATTTTACAACATTCTGTAGCTCTGTGGTTTGTGTTTGCATCCCAAAGGTTTTATTGTTGTCATAACCACGTGTCCTTAAGTCAATTCTGATTTACCAGGACTGTGCAGTTTTGCCCAAGGCCACACAGGACCTGCTCTTCTAGGATGTACAGCAGGCAACTGAATTCCCAACTTCCAACTATGCAACCAGATACGCAACTCACTGAGCTATCCAGCCAGCAAAGGCTTTATAACATGGAGGATTAACTTGTTAGGCATCTTTTACATGTCTAAATTTTAAAAGTTTGCTCTTTTGTATTTTATTGCTTTACAAGTTTAAAAAAATATTTTTATGCAGTTCTAGATGATTATATGTCAATAGTATCATCCAGAGTTGGACATGCCAGTGTCATCTCTATGTTCAGTCT